AAACCACCCGTCTGGTAATTCACATGGAGGCACAGCCGTATTAATAAAAGAGAACATCAAACACTATCCTCTGCAAAATTATGAAACGGACAAAATTCAAGCAACGTCAATTAAAATCCTCGACAGCAAAATAGAAACAACCGTCTCTGCCATTTATTGTCCACCAAGGCATGTTATCACTGGCGAGGACTATAAGAGTTATTTTAATACACTTGGAAACAGGTTCATCTGTGGAGGAGACTGGAACGCCAAACACCTGTTCTGGGGCTCTAGGATGACTTTGCCACGTGGACGGCAATTGTACTCGGCAATGAAAGATCTTAAACTGCAATGCACTTCACACGGCGTCCCCACATATTGGCCATCAGATCCTAATAAATTGCCAGACCTACTGGATTTTTTCATCACCAAAAACATAGCATCTAACCAGATAGACACAGAAGAATGTACCGACTTGTCCTCGGATCACACACCAACAATAATGAACTTACACTGGAAGGCAATTATGACGGACTACCCAGAGAGACTCTACAATCACAAAACGGACTGGAACAACTATAGGACCGAAATAACGAAGGCAATAAATTTAACCACGCCATTGAGAAGTTTGAAAGGTATCGAAGCAACAATTGAATTTCTCAATAAGCTCATCCACCGAGTGGCAAAAGAATCCTCACCTATGCAGAGACAATACGCACAAAAATCACGGTACGCTAAATCAATAAAGGAGAAAGTAAACGAGAGAAGACGTCTTCGGAAAAGGTGGCATTCTACAAGATATCCTCGTGACAAGAAAGCCTTTAACCGAGCTTCAGAAGAACTCAAAGACATGATCTACCAAGCAGATAATGCACGACTCCAGTACCAACTTGCCAACCTTACTCCAAACAAAGACACTAACTATTCCCTTTGGAAGATAACAAAGAAACTGAAAAGGCCAAAGACACACATACCACCAATAAAAACTACTCCAGGAAAATGGGCAAGAACAGATCTTGAAAAAGCTCAAGCGTACTCAGAACACCTAAAGGACGTATTCCAACCTCTGACAAGTAAACACCCAGATCATGACAAAGACGTTTATGAGTACCTCGGTTCCCCACTACAAATGTGCTTACCGCTAAAAAGTGCTAGCCCTAAGGAAGTGTGGAAGGAAATCCTAAAACTACCGGAAGGTAAAACACCAGGCTATGACTTAATTGACGCACAACTTTTAAAACAACTACCAAAAAAAGGAATAATACTCATTACTGCAATCTTTAACGCCTGTCTTAAGTTAGGCCAATACCCGGCACAGTGGAAAATTGCCCAGGTTATCATGATACTCAAACCAGGCAAACCGCCCCATGAAGTAAATTCTTACAGACCGATAAGCTTACTCCCGGTGCTAGGCAAACTTCTAGAGAAAATCCTACTAAACAGGATGCGCACCTACCTACCGGAAACAATACCTGACCACCAGTTTGGCTTCAGAGAACAGCATGGGACTATCGAACAAGTACACCGCCTCACGGATACGATAAGTCGAGCGCTAGAAAGCAAGCAATTTTGTTCGGCTTTATTCTTGGATATAAGTCAAGCATTTGATAGAGTCTGGCATGAGGGACTTCTTTATAAGGTCAAAAAACTACTGCCACACTCGTTTTACTCAATCCTGCAATCATACCTGAATAACAGATGCTTTGAGGTAAAACTTAAAAACGAAACCTCACAGCTGAACAATATCTTCTCAGGAGTCCCACAAGGTAGTATACTGGGTCCCGTAATGTACTTAATTTACACCGCAGATCTACCGCTACATACCGACACCCTTACTGCCACCTACGCAGACGACACAGCCCTCTTATCAGTACACAACGACCCACTTATAGCTTCGGCCAAGCTACAAGAACATGTCAGTAAAGT